TTGAGTGATTGTGAATGGTTGAGTGATTGTGAATGGTTGAGTGATTGTGAATGGTTGAGTGATTGTGAATGGTTGAGAATGGTTGAGTGATTGTGAATGGTTGAGTGATTGTGAATGCTTGAGTGATTGTGAGTGATTGTGAAGCGTCACAATAACACAACACTGAGCTTCAGCTGTATAAAGTGGCTCAAATCTAAAATAATCCTGATCTCTGCAGACCGACCTTCAGATCTGAGCTGTGGTCACTGGTCAGGGAGGAGGTTTCCTGTGGAGCTGTTGACTCTCCTCAGTTATTTTTAACCCTGTCAGTTTCTGCTGGGAGGAAGTCCTGATGATGATGATGATGATGATGATGATGATGATGATGATGATGAGCTCCAACAGCTCAGATTGTGATTTACAGTCTGAGAGTTGCTCTGTTTGTTATAGTTTACAGTTAATTCTGTTTGGGTTGTCGACTGCAGGAGCTTCAAACTTCTGTTTCACCATCAGACACACAGGTGTGTGTGTGTGTGTGTGTGTGTGTGTGTGTGTGTGTGTGTGTGTGTGTGTGTGTGTGTTGTCATCATCACGCTGAGCGATTACACAACAGCCGGACTTTGTTCTTGCGTCGGCCTCATGAGGAGCTCTGAGCTCCCCGCAGACCGGCTCATGGATTAAAGACGGCACTCAGGCCACGCCCACTTAACGAGGYGTTCACTGACCCCTCAGTCAAACTGAGGCCCTGACCTGGCTGATCTCTTTATTTTCTCAGATCCAGAAACAGATTTAGAAGCAGAACAGTTTAGCTCCCAGAATAAACCTTAGATCATTCATGTGTCTAAATACACAACTGTTGTTGTTTTTGTTTATTTAGCCACATGAAGAGGATTCARAAACACATTAGAATTTAATTCAAAATGCAAGAAAATGTATTCATTTWAAAAACTGATTGATCAAACTTTACAGGCCTCAGATAATAAATGAAAGAAAGTAGCTGAACATTAGTTATTTTAATTATAATTATTGGAGTTTAAAAGCAGTGAGGYGGTTTTATTCTGTCCCTTCAGTCAGATTGTTTCTCCTCTTCCTCCTCCTCCTCTTCATCATCAGTGAGTCTGTGACACTCGTGTGAAAATAAAGCAGAACATTTCTCACCGCCCAGAAGAAACGAGCCGACCTGCTGCTCCCAGATCTGCCCCGCYTCCAGCTGAAGGGACCGGGTCTTTCAGGACCTGACCCAGGTCTTTCAGGACCCAACGAGGGTGGCTTTGTTGTTGAAAAGACCAGCAGCAGAAATGCTGGTTTCAGTGGAACTCAGGGTRTAAACAAACCTGAGTGTGTTACCTGGAGTTAAATAATCAAATGAAACTGTCTCTGCAGGGACGCTGCCTTTGGGAACTGCTCCTACGACCTGACGGTTCTAGACTGTCTGCAGGGAATCAGGAAGGTGAGCTCACCTGTTGCTTRTACAAATCTGACTCCAAACCTTCACTCACTTTGGTTTTTCTTCAAATATGAAGTATTGTACCGCTTTAAATAGCAACAAATATTAATCTAATGAAGTTCATTGTGTCTATAAAATCAATCTTAATATGTTTTCCTAATTACTAGACACTTTTTTATTTTTATGTCTATACAGACATACCTGACATGTTTCGACTCGTCGAAACATGTCAGGTATGTCTGTATAGACATAAAAATAAAAAAGTATCTATTAATTAGGAAAAAGTATTAAGAGCAACAAATATTGTTCATATCAATACATTTAAATGTGTTTTTATGGACTAAGTAAACAGGACTAAATAAATCCAGATAAATGAGGTTTGATTCTTTTGAATTTATTTTCAGTCAAACTTTATTTCTGTAAAACAATAAAAACAACCACAGTTAACTTAAAATACAATCAAATCCACACCAAACAAAATAACGTTTTAAAACCTCAGATGATGAATCAGTTTATGTTTAATTAGTTCTGCTCAGATGAATAAACCCAGAGAGGTTTGAAGGGCTCCATCATGAATGAGTGACTTTGACTCTAAAAGAATAAAGCAGGTCTGAGTGTCACAAACCGTGTTTCCATCAAGGCTTTTTCATGCGCATTTAGAAGTGTCGCATTAAAAATGCGAAAAAAGGTCTGAGAGAAACGGCAAAATTTGAAAAAAAAAATCCTCAATTCGCTAAAAAGTTTTTACGCTCGCTTGAGGTGGTTTTTGGATGATTCGCAAAGTAGTTAATGCTCAAAACTGGAGATGGAAACACGTTTGACGAATAAATTCTGACGTAGCGCATATTTACCTCACGTGACGTTCAGCTGTTTACGCTCTCCTGCCTCTTCCCGGATGTTACCATAAACGCGCAAAAACATGGCTGCAAACAACGTCTCCTGGCAGCGTTAAACATAGCCTGTACTAGCTGAATAGATAGAATAATTACAACTTGCCCAATAGCAAGG